TGAACTAAAGTCTACAAAGAGGACCCTTGCGTAGGTCTTTGGAGATTCAAAGTGTTGTAGGATGTAGTGCAGAGCCATATTAACAGCATCGTCTGTCGATCTATTTGCTCGGTATGCAAATTGCAGGGGGGCCAACAGCGGATCCGTGATGGTTTTCAAGTGGGACATCACTAGCCTTTCAAAGGTTTTCAATAAATGTTAGAGCAACTGGTCTATAGTCATTCAGTTCCTTGATGGAGGGCTTCTTAAGCACTGGGATGATAATAGTGGAGTTTGAAGCAAGAAGGAACACATCTCTAGTGATTTATTGAAGATTTGGGTGAAGATGGGGGCCAATTGGTCAGCACAGACAAGCAAGAAGGAGTTATCTTGTCTGGGTCTGGTGCTTTTCCTGGCTTCTGTCTGTGAAATAGATCTTCCTTTTCTGTGATCACCAGGGGTTGTGAACCCAATGGGATGGGGTTAGTTTGGCTGTTGTTGGTGTGTCTGGGATGGGGGTTGTGGAGGTAGGTGGCTGTAGTTTCCTTTCAAACCTGCAGTAAAACATATTCAGGTCATGCCAGTTGTTGATTTCCTTCAGCCTGAGAAGGAGGAATAAAAAACGGGCTGAAAATCTCACCCATGAGCTGTGCTAAGAATTGACTCTCTTCTGGATTCAGAGAGAGATGGCCTACAAAAATGAGACAAGAAAGTATCTTTCTAAAATTAGCAACCTTGGGAGCTTAGAAGAAAAGGGTCAATGTTGGGATATGATAAATGGGGATTGCTTTGGCAGATTTGGGCACATCAAGGATATAGATTACTTTAGTTCAATAATATTAAATAATTGTAATTTTTATACTCTCAGCCATCTTATCTCCAAATCCTCTTATTAATTGAGTAGAACAGTGTTTCCTTGAAAATAAGACCTGGTCTTATTTTATTTTGGGTCTCAAAATATGCACCAGGTCTTATTTTGGGGGGATGGGATTCGGGGGATGGGAATCCCAGTGGTGGGATTCAAATTTTTTTTACTACCAGTTCTGTGGGCGTGGCTTGGTGGGCGTGGTATGCTTGGTGGGCATGGCGTGTTGGGCGTGATGGGGGAAGGATACTGTAAAATCTCCAATCCCTCCCCACTCCAGGGGAAAGTTACTGCAAAATCCCCATTTCCTCCCGGGAGGCAGAGAATAGTTGGGAGCAGGGCCAGTCAGAGATGGTATTTACCGGTTCTCCGAACTACTCAAAATTTCTGCTACTGGTTCTCCAGAAATGGTCAGAACCTGCTGAATGCCATCTCTGGTCTTACCTGCTTACCTTAGGACCACCATAGCTAGGCCTCCCACCCCGATACCTGTTGTGCCACTGCCTGACTTCTTCTGTGGCTGCTTGCAGCTATTTGCAGCCAGATGCCATGGCTCATTGCGCTGGTGCTGCTGCTCGCAGTGGGAGACTGTGTGCTGTGCTGTACTGTTGTGCACGTGAGCCACACTGCATCCTGTCGCAAGCCACGCAAAAGACATCAGGCAGCATTGCGACAGGTGTCGATGTGTGGGAAGCCTGGCTGTGGCAGTCCTAAGGTAAGCAGGTGCAGGGCGTGTGGGGCAGCTCCATCCCCCCCCCACTCCTTCCCTAGCTTGATTTTTATGCATGTGCCCCACCCCCACCTTGTACAACCAGATGGTGGGCAGGGCTTAACTAGGGATTATTTTGGGGTAGGGCTTATATTAAGTTCAAATGTAAATGTTGTAAATGTTTATTCCAAGCAGGGGGGAAGGGGAATACAAACAAAAACAAAAAACAGGCAAGTTAAAACAGAGCAACAGTC